CCAAGGGCACCATGCCCCAGCTGGCCGATCCTGGACAGTCCCTTAACTTCTCTGAGTTGTTTCCTCCTCTGTAAAACTGACTGAAATATCTCTCATCTAGAGCTGTGAGCAGATGCAGTGAAGTAATAACGTCAGTTGACACTTCACCTGACAGTATGTGGCAGGAGATGGGGCGTGAGATCATAGATGCCTGAGTACCTCGTTGGCAGAGCAGAAAAAAAAAGCAAGGGGGGCGTGACTCACTGTAACAGGATCAGCAAAGACGTATGTTCACTAAACATATCTGGAAAAGGTTTAATTTCTAAAAAGCCTCATAGCTATATGAACCTTGTGAAATAAACCAGTCACAAAAGGACCAATTCTGTATGATTCCACTTATATAAGGTACATCAAGCAGTCAAATTCACAGAGACGGTGAAATGGTGGTTGAGAGGGGAAGGGGGGTGGGAGTTGTTTAATGGGGACAGAGTTTCAGTTTTAAAAGATGAAGAGGTCTGGAGGTGGATGGTGGGGATGGTTGCATACCAGTGAGGATGTGCTTAACACCACTGAACTGTATGCTTAAAAGTGATTAATATGGTAAAAATGTTGGGTTATGTGTATTTTGCCACAATGAAAAAAAAACAAAAGAAAAATTTTAGGCGGTGTGTTGGGAGTGGGGTGGGGAACCTGCACATTTTGCTTAGGTTTTTAAATTTTGTTTATTTTTATTTTTTAGCAATGGGAGCTCATTTCTGTATAGATTTGGTCTGATTACTGGAGTTAGCTCTTTTCTTTTCTTTTTTTTTTTTAAGATCTTATTTATTTATTCACGAGAGACACAGTGAGAGAGAGAGAGAGAGAGAGAGAGAGAGGCAGAGACACAGGCAGAGGGAGAAGCAGGCTCCACACAGGGAGCCCGACGCAGGACTCAATCCCAGGACTCCAGGATCACGCCCTGGGTGGAAGGCAGGCGCCAAACCACTGAGCCACCCAGGCCTCCCCTGGAGTCACCTCTTAAGGCAGGGCAGAAATACCTCAAATTAACGTACAAGTCACCCTTGGGAAATCCTTTAGTAAGAATAGGACCAACACAGCCGGTTTTCCCTGTGGCATTGGAACATTGCTTCTCTGAGCATCAGATGCAGTGGCTGATTTACGTTCAGGGGTCGTAACAAAATATATACTCCGAGTGACTCGTAGGGCAGACACTAACACTGAGGCACCCTCAGAACCAGGGTCTGCAGGGAAAACAGCCCCTTCCCCATCCCCCATTGTGGTCCATTGAGAGTACAAACAAGTCGAATGGCCAGAATCCTCAGCCCTGTTGAAAGTATGGTCTTATTTCTCTTGATTTTCTTATGCAGAGTCAAATGAGTCCAAGCTGAATGAGTCTGTGAAGTGGCTTCACCAAAGTGGCCTTGGGCCAGTCAAAGAGAACTGGACATATGCCTTACTCTCACCCCTCTTTTCCGCTAACTCTGATGGGATTTCAACCCTAAATTGTTCTCTGACCTTTGATTTGATCTATTGGCCATAGGAAAATAGACCTTTTCTTCTATCAGACACCCCTACGGGCCACATCTCACAGATACTCCTAGACACCTGCTCAAACCTGAAATTCTCTGACCTTAAAGGATCTTTTCAGACCTTAGATCCAATCTCAGGGCCAAAGCTTAAATCAAAACCATGAAGTTCCCATCTTTTCAAAGAGCTCTATCTTCAAATGATAAAATACTCCCAGAGAAGTGGTTCAATCAAGACTCCTCGAAGACCGATTAAAAAGCAATGGGCATGAGCTAGCACTGTCTTTCAGACAAATTTGACCACTATCTCCTTCAGAAGGGTTTTAGACAATGCCTAGCCCACTTCCAGGCATGACCATTGAACACCTAGCCCACTTCCAGGCTCCATGACAAATGAATGAATGGTCAACTGCCCTGTGATGAGCGAGCCATCATTAATTTGGTGCTGTTCTAAATCAGTAGAATTTTAAAAAAAGATTTACTTATTCATTTGAGAGAGAGGGCAGAAGGAGAGGGAGAGAATCTCAAGCAGACTCCCCATTGACTCCCCATCCCAGGACCCTGAGACCATGACCTACCTGAGCCAAAATCAAGAGTCTGACACCTAACCAACTGAGCCGTCCAGGTGCCCCAGTAGAATTTCTGATTGGCAATAAAATTTGGGTTTTTATGCCCAAGGATTAAGAAACTAACAAACAGGGGCTATGAACTTTAATACCAATTTTGCCATTAAATATTTTGCTGATCCCCATGCAAGACTTTTTTTAAAGCTTTTTATTTATTTATCCATGAGAGAGACACAGAGAGAGAGGGAGGGACATAGGCAGAGAGGGAGAAGCAGGCTCCCTGAGGGAGCCTGATGTAGGACTCAATCCCAGGACCCCAGGATCATGCCCTGAGCCAAAGGCAGATGCTCAGCCACTGAGCCACCCAAGCATCCCTCCCATGCAAGATTTGTTATCTTGATTTTTCTTATCTGCGAAATGGAAAGAAAGGGGACCTGTAGAAATACATTTAAAAATGAAAGAGAAAAAAAAGAACAATAAAATGCTTATTGGTGAAGTTGTTTATTTTTCTACGAGGCAATGCACTGGATTCCAAACCTTAACAGGGGAAAAGTGAGACCATTTGTATTCACTTGCATAACAGTGGGAAGTGTCCCCCTGGGATCTCATGGTTGGTTTCTCCACATCAGTTTGGTTCCAAGCACCATGTGAAGGATGTGGCTGAGCTTGAAGACAAAACTGGGATGACAATAGCCACTTGCAATGACAGGCAGAGTAAACAGTGAGAAGGAATCAGATTTGTATCAAGTAGGACCAGCTGAGGACCCCTGTCCTATTGACAAGGGTTATTAATGGAAAGTGCTGGGATGCCTGGGTGGTTCAGTGGTTGAACGTCTGCCCCTGGCTCAGGTCATGATCCTGGGGTCCTGGGATCTAGTCCTGCATCAGGCTCCCCGCAGGGAGCCTGCTCCTCCCTCTGCCTATGTCTCTGCCTCTCTCTGTGTCTATCATGAATAAATAAATAAATAAAATCTTTTTAAAAAAATTAATTGAAAGTGCTGGGAGCCTGAGGAGATCCTGTGAGCTCCAATTCCCATCTCTGCTATGGCACCACTGTGAAACTGAGAACTGTTTGACATTCTTCCAGACTTGTAAACTATTCAGCCAACCTGCTCTGCTGATCCCTCGGGGCTGGCTGTATAGTACTAACAAAGTTAGCATGAGGATGAATTTTGGAAACTGTAAAGATGTTAGACCAGGTGTGGGGGTATTATCACTCTCCTTCCTCAATAGAAAAGGCATCGAAAAGATCATGAGCCTCTTGTTAGTTCACTGAGTGCAGGACTAGCTCCATGCCCCACCCTCCTCAACAGTAGCAGAGGAACCAGGACTTCCTAGTCGGTGGCTTGGGCACTGGAGACTGATTGTCTGGATTTCTCATCTCAGCTCTGCCATTTATGCCCTTTGTGGCTTGACATAGTGACTGACTTCGTCAGCTTCTGTCTCTTCACCTCTAACTGGTGGATGGTGATGGTGATTTTACTTAGAGTTGCAGCATGTTGATATACCCGTTATAGACTGAATTTTTGTGTCGCCCCTCCAAATTCACATGTTGAAGCCCATACCCCCGGAGTGATGGTATTTAGAGGTGTGCCTTTAGGAGGTAATTAGAGTTTGAGTCATAAGAGTGGGGCCCCCATCGTGAGATTGATGTCCTTATGAAAGCAAAGAAAGCTGAGCTTTCTGTCTCCATCATGTGAGGATAAACCAAGGAGGTGGCCATTGCAAGCCAGGAAGAAGGTCCTCCCTAAGAATGGCATCAGCCCACCCCTTGATCTTGGACTTCCTGACCACGAGAACTATGAAAAATCTTAGTTTGTCTATTGGTTGATCTTCCCAGTCTGTGGTATTTTGTATGGCAGCCTGAGCAGATTAATAGATTCCTGAAGAGCTTAGAACAGTGCCCGGTTCATAGTAAAACACTCAGTAAATACTGGCATATATTTACATATTTGTTTGTTTGTTTTTTTGAAACTTTATTATGAAATATTGCAGACAGGGGCACCTGGGTGGTTCAGTGGGTTGAACATCCAACTCTTGGTTTCAGTTCAGGTCATGATCTCAGGATCATGGGATGGAGCCTGGTGTCGGGCTCAGTGGGAAGTCTGTTTAAGGATTCTCTCTCTCTCTCTCCCTCTGCCCCTTCCCCTGCTTTCTCTCTCTCAAATAAATAAAATCTTTTTAAAAACATTGCAGGCCCTCTAGAATGTTTAAAGGTTTAAAGAATAACAGCATAACCAGTACCCAGCATGAGGTATGAAATATTACCAATACAGCTGAAGCCCTCATATACCTTCCCCAACCGCCTTCTTTCCTTCCCACCCAGAGGTAATCATGCTCCTGAATTTGGTACTTATCACTCCCGTGCATTCCTTTATACTCTTACTCCATCCCCATCTGTATGTATCTGTAAACAATGAGACTGAAATTTTAAGTAAGCCAGGACTGACATATGTCTCTTCCAGACAGACTTAGACATAGTATCTAGCCTAGCACAAAATATTGTTGGAGGGGTGCCTGGGTGGTTCAGTTGGTAAGTGTCTGCCTTGGGCTCAGGTCATGATCTCAGGGTCCTGGGACTGAGCACCCATCAGGCTCTCTGCTCAGCAGGGAGCCTGCTTCTCCCTCTCCCTCTGCCTGCTGCTCCCCCTGCTTGTGTGCTCTCTCTCTCTCTCAAATAAATAAATAAAATCTTTTAAAAAACAACAACAAAGTATTGTTTAGGAAACCCATCTGTCCCCATGTGTCATCTTGCTCTGTGTGTGCTTTCACCCTCCTGAGCAGGGACTGTCCAATATCTCCAGGTGGACCAATCGACGATGCGAGCCATTAGTCAGGTCTCCAACCAGCAGGTGTGTGTTTGTCAGAGGCGACGGAGTGGCAACCCCCAGCCCTGTTCTTGGCTGACGCCTCCTCTCCTCCCTTCCAGATGGAGATGCGGCTGCAGGACCAGCAGCTGGCCAGACAGCTCATGCGGCTGCGCAGTGACATCAACAAGCTGAAGATCGAGCAGACCTGTGACTTGCACCGGAGGATGCTCAACGATGCCACCTACGAGCTGGAGGAACGGGACGAGCTGTCCGATCTCTTCTGCGACTCCCCGCTGGCCTCCTCCTTCAGTCTCTCCACCCCGCTCAAGCTCATCGGAGTCACCAAGATGAACATCAACTCCCGGAGGTTCTCTCTGTGCTGAGAAGCCCTGGAAGGGGGCAGGGGGTGGGGTGCAGAGCAGAGTGTTTGGGAGGCGGGGAGGGGACGTGGCAAGGGAGTTGAGGCTGAGTTACCCTGAGTGGGTCTCCCAGAGGCAGGACTTCCCTGTGACTGGTGAACCTGGACCCTCAGACCCACAGCAGGTGCTCTCCCCGGGGGCTCCGGCTGTGGAGCCCAACAACCCCCTGACTGTCTGTGACCCAAAGTGTCCTGCAGAAGGGCCGCTCCATCCAGATGTTCAATGAGACCTGGCTCCCAGCATGACACATCTCCATCCTCCCCTCGCTCACCCATATTCCTGTTTCCCGGAATCGCTGGTGCTATGATCTGGGATCCCAAAGGGGGACCCCCAGAGCTGTAATTCTGCAGAAATCTTCCCCAAGGACACTGCACATCCAGGGAGGAGGTGATTAGGTGTGTCAGATGAACCCATCTCCTGTTGCTGTCCTCTTAAGTACAGGCTCAAGTTCACTGTAAACAGGTGACTTAGCAGCCCTAACAGGGACTCACCTGGAAAGGAAAACCAGAAGGTATGACAAAGTGGGGGCTTGGGGACGCAGCCCCACGGCCCTGGCCAGCACCTCTGGGGAGCAGCTGGTCTGGGCGATTGTCAGTCTTAGACCTTGGCACCACCAGCACCGTGTAAATTGTTTCCAGCGCGTGCCAGGACACACCAGGGAATGTAGGTGGAGCAAGCACAGATGCCCTCTATTGTCACCCTGGCCACACACATCAATCCCAGTCTCCAAAGAGCCCCTTGGGGAGTGCCTGAGAGAACCAGGCAAGTGTGTCGGTGGGTTTCCCACCACCGAATTCTCCTGATGGCGTCACTTTTGTCCCCTTCTTGCCCTCCCCAGAGAGACTCCACGGAGCTCAGGAGCTCACCCTGAGCCTCCTCTGACATTCTGTGCCTAATTTAAACGACTAATTTTAATTGAATCAGACTGTTACTAATCTGTTGCTAACTTGTTAACAACTGTTTGATTTTTGTCCAAATGGTGATGCCAATTGGGTAGCTCAAGTACAGTAGTTAAGGATTTGACTGTAAAGGGTTGTCCCTGACATAGGGCATGAAGATCAGCAAGGTGAGGGCTGACACCTCAACAGGGAGGAAAGTTAACCTGATAGAATGCTGCGTGGAGCATGTTCTCCCGCCAGCTGGGGGTGAGGTGGCTTTGGACGTCACCTAGCCAAGCCTTCTTGTTCATAATGGAGTGATGTGAAGCCAGGGAAGGAGATGACTTTCCTCAGGTTTCATAGCTCCTTAGTGGCTGTAGAATATCAACCTGTTAAATCATTATTAAAAATGCCTAGACCAATCATATATCAATGAACCTGAACCCCAAAGATGGTCCTAATGCTTTGCCAAACCCACAAACTGCCAAGCCCTCTACTCTCCACCCTACATGTACCTCTCACTTTGCAACTCAGAATAGTTGGGTCAAAGTCAGAGCAATGCCTGGAAAGTAGACCCGCAGTACATGCATTTACCAATCACATTTCCATAGTCGAAGTAAGGTGTCCTGATGTTCTTTCATGTTTCATCTTCCTGTTTAGTCTTACTGGGGCCTATGCACACTTTTACACACACACACACACACACACACACACACACACACACACACACACCCTGACTCACATTGGTTGTTTTTCTTTTGTGGGCTGGCAGTGGGAGGATGTGAATGAATGGTCCCTAGTTAGAAAAGAACTTGGTCTCTTTTTTGTGATTTCAAAGAGCCAGAGGGTTTATGCTTCCTTCAAAGAAGGTACAGCACCACAGCTAAAATTTGTTCTCAACCTGACTCTGAGCAGTGACTGTGGCCTAAGGCCCAGAGGACTGGTCCGCAGAAAAGACCTCAGTGCAACGTCAGGCCCCTTTGACATGCTCCCCCTCAGGCAGGGAAGGAGAGGACTTTCTCTACCCAGCGCCCTCTCTCCTCAGGGATTACATCCAAGCACTGCCAAGTCCTGCAGAGGCGTTCCTGCCCGGCTTCTCTGAGATGCCTCCTTGAGAGGGCAGGGCGGCAGGCTGGCCTGTGCACACCACTCACTCTCGAGAGGCACACACGTACACGTATGAAAACCCACACCAAAAAGCCCGTTGCATATTCTGAAAGTAATGCCAAACTGGTGTTTGGGGTTTTTTTTTTTTCTTTCTAGAAATCAGTCATTATAGTAATTGAAAAAATTGGATTCCACTAAAGCTGAGTGATATAGTTGATTTTGTCAATCCAATGGAGTTGGCATCCGCTGGGCAATTTATTGTTCGGGTCATCTAATGGTCCCTTCCCATCTTTGTTCTCTGAGAGGAAGCCCAGATCAAGAAACACTTTTTCTGAATAGATTAGATGTCTCCTCTCTTTTGCTTAGCTCACCCCAAGAGAATTTAATCTGGGGGCGAGGATGGTGGAGAAAGGGGAGGGGACCAGAGATGACAGCAGAGGGGGACAGACCGGGAGCGTCCCCTGACTCATCATCCAGTGTCCGGGAGTTCCCTTAGTCCCACAGGAAACACAATTAACTCACCCGGTCTGCAGCTGTGTGAAGTCCCTGCCTGGTTGGGGGGATCAAGAGATGTCTGTGGATCACCTGCAACCTAACCTGTGCCATCGCCAGCATCCTGGGGCCACCTTCTGGTGTCCCACGTGTACACAGTACTATTTGCAGTCTGACTCATTATCTACCCTCCTCTGTGTCATCCCCAAGGACCCTGAGTGTAAACCACGAGGTCTCCACTGACACTGCCGTTACATAGCAGTGTGTGATGCCTTCACGGACTCAGCAGAGATCACAGAGGCCCGGAGAGCCTGGGGAGGCTAGAGAGGGCCTGATCCGGCCCCAGGCCTCCTCCCTGTAGCAATACCAAGTGCTATTACATAATCGATGGACAATTTATAATCTTATTTTTTATTATTATTTGTTTCTATATTGCTGTTAGAAAAAGTTAAATAAAAATATTTCAAAAGAAGATACTATATAAGGAGGAGAGATTTCTTTTATTTTGCCTTGTTCCTATTGTAGCACATACAGAAAGAGAGAGGAGGGGAGGGAGGGAGGTTGGAAGGAAGGAAAGAAGTGCGGGTGGAGGTGGATGGGTTTGGGACACGCTTTTGGATATACTGTGGAGGTAAAGGCAACAAGACATGCTGACAGCTTGGATGTGGTGTGTGAAGAAGATGGAAGAATTAAGAACCACCCTCTGGCCAGCAGCTGGACAGAGGGGGTGCCGTTTACTGAGATGAAGAAGCTTTGAGGGGAGCATGATTGGGGCAGAGGGGCAACACCCAGTAGTTGTGTCTCAAGCATGGTACATTTAAATGCCTATTAGACATCCAAGTGGGGAGTGTATAAGTGGTTGAATATAGGGATCTGGATTACAGGAAATGGCCAATGTTGGAGACATAAATTTGGGATTCTGGCATAGGATATTTGGATGACATTAAAAGTACCATGCCTGTATAAATTCCTGAAGGAAGAGAGAGAGGACATAAAAGAAGAAGGAGCTGAGATGCCCGGGTGGCTCAGTTGTTGAGCGTCTGCTTTTGGCTCAGGTCATGATCCTGGGGTTCTGGGATCGAGTCCCACATCGGGCTCCCTAAGGGGAGCCTACTTCTTCCTCTGCCTGTATCTCTGCCTCTCCTTCTGTGTCTCTCATGAATAAATAAATAAAATCTTTAAAAAAAAAAAAAAAAAAGCAAGAGTCAGGGGCTAAGTACAGCATCCTAAGACCCTGACATCTAGAGGTCTGGAGATGGAATGGAAGGCGATGCCCAGTCAATGAGGGGAGCAGAGTGACATTTTAGGGATGATACAGCTTCTCCACTCAGGGACACAGCCTGATGCTACCCTACCTGCCCGGTGGCCGCAGCTAAGTGTATTCCTCTGGGACTGGCGACATAGGTCAAAAACAATGGCTTCTAGAGCCACCTACAGATTTTATCTATCTCATTTATTTCTAAGATAGATAAGATCTGCTGACAACATTCCCTTTGGCTTCTCAGCAGGAGGAGAAGCCCTCTCCTGACTATGGCAAAAGTGTGAAGTCTGTGATCTTGGCAGCTGGGCCAGGAAGGCTGCAATGGACCCACAGGGAGGAGGAAGGCAGTGTGGCTGACGGTGGCCCTGCCACAATAGATAGGCCTGTCACAATCCCAGGCCGTCTCTGCTGGAAACCACTCTGGAGCACTGCAAGGTTTCAGACCTGGCTATTTTTAAGTACCCTGCTCGCGGGCTCAAAGCCAACAGTGATGGAGACAGCAAGGCGGTCTCCGAAGGAAGTTACTTTAGGAAAGGAAACCACAAACGTTTGAGGCCTTGGCAAGCAGTCATCCCCGCTCACCACGACGTGCTAGGTTCACTGTGGACATCTCCCCGACCAGCAGTCAGTGCACCGGTAGTGTGTGCAAACTCCCTGGGCCAGCTTCACCGGCTCCTAGTGAGTGTGTCCCCTAAACCATCTCACCACACAGAGGGCCCCCCATCCCCCGCCACGGCTCCCCTACCTACCCGCTTGTCCACACAAGGACAGCTGAAGTGCTAAGAAGGATGACTTGCCAGAGAACACCCAGGGTCCCAAGGCAAACCTGAGTTAGGGAGTGACAAGCCAGCCTCCCCATCTCCCTCTGGGGGATTCACCTCCCCAGCCTGTGGCCCAGGCATCACAGGGAAGGGTTGCACCCACTGCATGGGGAGCCTCACCTGGAAGGGGTGCCATGGGCCAGGGACTCTCCTCCCTGTCTGCCTGTACCAGTCAGGGTTTGGGGCAGGAAAGTGGAAGTGGCTGTGAGAATTCCAGGAGGGGAAGGACCTGATAAAGGGGTTTGGGTTACATAACTATCAGAAGGGTCAGGGAAGTGGCTGCTGGGAGAGGTGGCTCACAGAGGTCATCTTGAAAGTGTGCTGGATTTCAGCACGCTGGGCAAGTGCCTCCCAGGGCCTCCTGCAGGACCCGAGTGGCTGCTTCTCAAGAGGCCTTCTGTCCCCACCTCTGCCTGCATCACCACTGGGAAATGACAGCATCACGCATGGTTGCAGACTGAGCTGTCCCCTCAAAGTTCAAATGTTGAAGTCCTGGCACCCCAGACCTCAGAATAGAACTGTATTTAGAGATAGGGCTTTCAGGGTACTTGGGTGGCTCAGTGGTTGAGCATCTGCCTTTGGCTCAGGTTGTGATCTGTGATCCTGGGGTCCTGGGATCGAGTCCCACATGGGGCTCCATGCAGGGAGCCTGCTTCTCCCTCTGCCTATGTCTCTGCCTCTTTCTCTCTGTGTCTCTCATGAATACATAGATGGAATCTTTAAAAATAAAAAAGTAGAGATAGGGCCTTCAAGAGGTAAGTAAGGTAAAATGAGGTCACTCATATGGACCCAATCCGAAATGACTGATGTCCTTATAGAAACATGACATTGGGACACAGACACACACAGAGGGAAGACCATGTAAGAACACAGGGAGAAGGCGGCTGTCTGCAAGCCAAGAAGAGAGGCCTCCGGAGAACCCGACCCTGTGGACACTTTGCTGCCAGACTTGCTGCCTCCAGCAGCATGAGACAGTACATGGCTGTTACTGAGGCCACGAGTCTGAGGGACTTTGTACTGAACGGGGGGAGGAAGCTAAGACACCTGCTGTTCTTCTATATCTCTCTCTACCTCTATCCCTGCTTCTTATAGCTTGCACCTGGAAGCGATGCATAGCACCTTTGCTCACATTTCTTTGGCCAGAACAAGTCACATGGCCAAACCAATCCTCCAGGAGAGGAGGAAATGCAAGCTTAATGTGTGCCCCATGCAGAGGAGAACTGGAATGTTTGGGAACAAGATAGCAATGACCACACCCAGCATTCTTCCCACCTCACCCTGACTGACCTGCAAAAGTCCATCGGCCTGTAGCCCTAAGGACGCCTCGGCCCACAGAGTCCAAGGCATGGGATAGGCACTTGGGAGTGCACAAGATGGTGTGGTAGGGGGCAAGAAGAAAAGATGAGTTCTGTTAGTATTCTTAATCTCTTTCTTTCTATTTTTAACATGCTTTAAACATGCATAATGTGGGGTGCCCGGGTGGCTCAGTCGCTTAAGTGTCTGCCGGCAGCTCAGGTCATGATCTCAGGATCCTGGGATTGACTCCGCATCAGGCTCCCTGCTCAGCGAGGAGTCTACTTCTCCATCTGCCTCTGTTGCTCTCTCCCCTTCATGCTCTCTCTCTCAAATAAATAAGTAAAAATATGTTTAAAAAAATAAATAAATGTGCATAATGTGTTGCTACAGTAATACATTTTGTGAAGTGTGAATCTGTCGTGGGAGGAGGGGTATGCACAAAACACTTCTTACCACTGGAGCGCAACAGCAAACAAATGAGCCTTAGCCTGCAGAGACAGGTCCTGGACCTTAGCCTGCTGCTGGATGCTGGGCTAGGCCGGATGGGACTCAGGGATTGATGTTTTCCTCCTGAGAGATCACACAGGTATGTCCCGTGACAAGCGTCCCTCTGTGGACACCAGCAGCTGGTCATTGCACTTTAGTTCTTCGGCAAAAGGTACAGCACCCCTTCCAGTTAGGTCTGGGCTCTGCTCCCCTTGACCACAGAGCAGAAAACAGAGGGTGGGAGAGGAAAGATAGGGAGGATGGGAGAGAGGAAAGGGGGAGAAGGTACAAGAAAAAGCAAAAGAGGGGAGAATTTCCTGAAGTGTAGAGTTGGCACCAAGTCAGAGAACATGAAATAAACTTCCCTTCCTGAGCTGAATCCCCCACCTTTTTAATAAGGTCCCGGTCGATTCTCAGAGCAGAGCCCAGAAATCTCGGTTTCTGAGTTGGAGTCCCAGGGGGCAGGCGTGCATCCAAGGCCCAGCAGGCGCAGGAATGGCCAGGAACCCCACAAGCCGCTGGAGTTCACACACCAGCTTGAGCAAAGCAGATCTCCCTTCCTGTCTGCCCCCCCTTTGACAGGCCACAGGCCGCCTCCTGCACAGCTACCTGTCCCCCCACCTGCCACCCACACCAGGCCCTGCTGAAATGACCAGAGCTTAGCCCACAGAGGGAGGGGAGAGCCTGCGGGCTGGCCACAGGGAGGGGGGACGTCCCTACTGCCACTGCCTGCAGGAGACACAGTAACACAAAATGTCATCTGCTGAATACCCCCTCCTCTCTCCCACCCCAGCCTAAAGTTGGGGGTGAGCTCTGCTAACTCTAAGGAAAGACCAGACCGAATGAACCATCACAAAAATGCTGCAGGGCGCCCTTGGAGGTGGAACTAGATTTTCTAAGAGCAAGTTTCTAAGTTTCCAGTCACTTCTATTTCTAGCAAAGGAGACAGTGAGTCTCCTTTAGAAAAACCTCCTGAGTGGTCCCTTTCAGGAAGTAGATGAAAGGCAAGTCAGCAGCCACGGCTCTCAGGGAGGGCGAGCTGACTCTTGGCACCTACAAGAGTAGGTCAAGCTCCCACTATGACTGCTAGGAAGGAGTGGGTAAATTGGTGTCAGGGCCTAGAAGCCTTCCAAAGAAAGGGATCTGGACGCCTTGTGGGTTTTAAAGTGCTACAGCATCTCTGAAGCACCCCTCACACCGAATGTCTGACTGCTTCCAAGGGGGGAGGCTGGATGCCATCAATCATAGACATGAAGAACCCCAAGGCTGTAGCACTGGGAGCCCAGACCTTCCGGAGATGACAGTTTCCCCTTCAGGGGGCAAAACAGAGAGCAAAGAGCAGCATCACGGAGTGATGAGTCTCAGGAAAGAAGGGAGAAGAGAGACACAGACATGCCGTGATGAAATGGGGCTCGGAATTAAATCCTACAAGATACAAAAGGAGCCATGGCCTCCTACCAACCCCAGGCTGGGGACATAGGGTGTATCACATGTGGTCGCATCAGGGCTGGAGCAATCAGAGTATGATCTTTTCCTACTACCAACAAAGAAGCAGGTCCAGGAGCTGAAGTGGCTGGTCAAGGTCACTGCCCAGTTGGTACAGAGCTGGA